TTCAAAATCGAAATTGAAACAAATTTTATTTAAAACATTTTTTGATAAAAACAATAATTATTGAGATAATTAATTTTGATAGCATACTATTCAGAGGGAAATTAAAATTTCAAGTTAGCAAAAAATTTTATTAACAAACACTGTTCCTGAAGTAATTCTAAACAAAATTTGTTAACAACATTTTTTGATTAAATCAACGCTAAGGATATAACCTCAAAAAAAATTTTATATATATATTTTTATTGGGAAAACAACTTTTGTATGAAATTTTCTGCTGGGAACAAGTGGAGGGGGGAAATCGTATTGTTTCGTTACAAAAGTTGCCCTATTTATTAGTTATTTTTTTATTTTCAGAATGTTTATTTTGAAGATGAAAACGATAAAAACAACGCTCTACGTCAAAAACGAAGTTCCGATAAACAATACTTATTCGACGTGGTTTTCGGCGAGGAGGCGACGCAAGAGGAAGTTTACGATGTGACCACAAGCGGTTTGGTGAAAGACGTCCTAAACGGGTAAACTTAATCTATTATTAAAGTCGTGTGTTTATCGCTTGCTCGCATTAAACCATTAATTATTTATCACAAAACCGTTCGAGTGTGCTTTTGAGCGCGAACACCCGACGTTTTATTCGAGTTTTATTATTTTATTAATTAGGCTTTGCGTGTTCAATGAATAAAATGGGTTTTAGATTTTTTTTATTTCATTTTTTTGACCTTCGATCGCGTTCTAAACGGTTTAAAGAAAATTATGATTATTTTTGGGGTTATTTCTTATTCAAATTGAAAATTTTCGTCTGACGTCACCTGCAATTAAATCGCTGTGTCGGTTTTAATTATTCAACATTTTTTAGCAATTAAGAAACAATTACTTCATTAACGTAATATCTCTTCCAAATGATTTTAAATTCTATCGATTAAACATTTGTCATCGTGCAATGGAGTTATTGGAAAAAGCTTAAGGAAAAGAGCTACAAATTTACTTTCTAAATTATTTATGTTAAGGAAACTTATTTTTTTTTTATTTTTTAGATTTAACGCAACTGTTTTTGCGTACGGCGCAACGGGGGCTGGAAAAACGCACACTATGGTGGGGGATCAAACGCAGCCCGGAATCATGATAAGAGCCCTAAACGACATTTTTCACACCGTAAAAACGAAAGAATCCGAATTTTCCGTCACAATGTCTTATTTGGAGTTATACAACGAACAAATTCGCGATCTCCTCAACCCATCAACGGGTTACTTAGAATTACGCGAAGATTCCCGAGGTCGCAACATCCAAGTCGCCGGTTTATCCGAAATCTCAACAACCTCAACCCACGAAGTAATGACTTTACTACAAAAAGGGAATAAAGCACGAACGGTAGAACCAACAGCCATGAACAAAACATCCTCAAGATCCCACGCCCTTTTAAGCGTAACCGTTCGCCACACAATCCCCCTCGACAAAAAAGACCACCTCCGAATGCGAATCAAACAAGGAAGATTATTCATGATCGATTTAGCCGGATCAGAAAGAGCGAACAAAACTAAAAATCGCGGAAAGCGATTACAAGAAGGCGCCCACATAAACAGATCTTTATTAGCATTAGGAAATTGTATAAACGCTTTAAGTGGAGGGGCTCGTTACGTAAATTACCGCGATTCAAAATTAACGAGATTACTAAAAGAGGCTTTAAGCGGAAATTGTCGAACGGTTATGATAGCGCACGTTTCCCCAGCTTCGAATCAAAAAGACGAATCGAGAAACACATTAATTTACGCCGATCGAGCGAAAAATATTTCGAGTAAAGCCGAAAGTAACATTTTGGACGTTTCGTATCACGTCACTCAATATCAAACCGTCATTAATGAACTTCGCGATGAGATTTCGAGGTTACAACAAAAAATGACGGAAGAGCGACCGAGATCGGCGGACGTTAATAAGTTAACCGCCGAACAACGAAGCAACGAAGTGAAACAATTAAGAGAACAAATAGTGGAAACGTTTAAAATGCAAATGAAGTTACGAAGGAAATTAATGGAAATCGATTCTCATTTATTAGGGTTAGGGATGGAAGCTGAAAGGCAACATTTGATCATTTCGCATTGGGAGTCGAGGAATAATAAGTTGTATAAAAATCATGGATTGAAATCGAGGGCTCAAACTCAACAGACGCAAAGGAGGAGGCAAAATTCGACCGCTGAAAGCAGTAAATCTGCCGATTTTTCTGAGGTTGATTCGGATTTCGATGGGGAGGCCGAAGGCGAATTGGCTGTTCAACAAGCTTGGGGGGAATTGGCTGATATTGAAAGGGAGCAGGAGCGATGGTCTGATTTGAGGATACAAATTGAACATAAATTGGAACATTGTAGACAAACTGGAGTTTCTTTGGAGGATGTAAGAAAATATAAAAATATTAATTTTTTTGATTATCATTAAAAGGGCACGGAACTTTTGTAACAAAACGATACGATTTCCCCCCTCCACTCGTTCTGATTAAAAGAACAGCATACTGTTCAGTGGGAAATTTGTTTGATTTAATCAATAATTAAGTAGATAACCTCAAAATAATAATTTTTCCGTTTTTGTACATAATTACACTTAGATGCTTAATTAATAGAGATATAAAATTTTTTTATTAAGATAATTGATTCAAAATCGAAATTGAAACAAATTTTATTTAAAACATTTTTTGATAAAAACAATAATTATTGAGATAATTAATTTTGATAGCATACTATTCAGAGGGAAATTAAAATTTCAAGTTAGCAAAAAATTGTATTAACAAACACTGTTCCTGAAGTAATTCTAAACAAATTTTGTTAACAACATTTTTTGATTAAATCAACAATAAGGATATAACCTCAAAAATATTAATTTTTGTAGCATACTATTCAGTGGGAAATTAAAATTTCAAGTTAGAAAAAAATTGTGTTAACAAAAATTGTTCCTGAAACAATTCTAAACAAACTTTGTCAACAATTTTTTTTGATTTAATCAATAATTAAGGAGATAACCTCAAAATAATAATTTTTCCGTTTTTATACATAATTATACTTAGATGCTTAATTAATAGAGATGTAAAAATTTTTTATTAAGATAATTGATTCAAAATCGAAATTGAAACAAATTTTATTTAAAACATTTTTTGATAAAAACAATAATTATTGAGATAATTAATTTTGATAGCATACTATTCAGAGGGAAATTAAAATTTCAAGTTAGCAAAAAATTGTATTAACAAACACTGTTCCTGAAGTAATTCTAAACAAATTTTGTTAACAACATTTTTTGATTAAATCAACAATAAGGATATAACCTCAAAAATATTAATTTTTGTAGCATACTGTTCAGTGGGAAATTAAAATTTCAAGTTAGAAAAAAATTGTGTTAACAAAAATTGTTCCTGAAACAATTCTAAACAAACTTTGTCAACAATTTTTTTTGATTTAATCAATAATTAAGGAGATAACCTCAAAATAATAATTTTTCCGTTTTTATACATAATTATACTTAGATGCTTAATTAATAGAGATGTAAAAATTTTTTATTAAGATAATTGATTCAAAATCGAAATTGAAACAAATTTTATTTAAAACATTTTTTGATAAAAACAATAATTATTGAGATAATTAATTTTGATAGCATACTATTCAGAGGGAAATTAAAATTTCAAGTTAGCAAAAAATTGTATTAACAAACACTGTTCCTGAAGTAATTCTAAACAAATTTTGTTAACAACATTTTTTGATTAAATCAACAATAAGGATATAACCTCAAAAATATTAATTTTTGTAGCATACTGTTCAGTGGGAAATTAAAATTTCAAGTTAGAAAAAAATTGTTTTAACAAACACTGTTCCTGAAGCAATTCTTAACAAACATTGTTAACAAAATTTTTTGATTTAATCAATAATTAAGGAGATAACCTCAAAATAATAATTTTTCCGTTTTTATACATAATTACACTTGGATGCTTAATTAACAGAAATGTAAAATTTTTTTATTAAGATAATTGATTCAAAATCGAAATTGAAACAAATTATATTTAAAAATTTTTTTGATAAAAACAATAATTATTGAGATAATTAATTTTGATAGCATACTATTCAGAGGGAAATTAATATTTCAAATTAGCAAAAAATTTTATTAACAAACACTGTTCCTGAAGTAATTCCAAACAAATATTGTTAATAAAATTTTTTGATTTGATCAATAATTAAGTACATAACCTCAAAAGAATTTTTATATATATATTTTTATTGAGAAAACAATTTTTGTATGAAATTTTCTGCTAAGAACTAGTGGAGGGGGGAAATCGTATTGTTTTGTTACAAAAGTTCCGTGCCCTAATCATTAATTAACTTATTTATTTTACAGAAACTCCCCGATTTATTATCATCAGATGACGAAAGAGAAATTTTAGCGTTAATGTGTCGCGTTCATGAATTGGAAGCCGATAAAATGGCTCTACAATCAGAACGTTTGGTGAGACAACATGAATTAAGAAGAAGAGACTTAGTTATTTTAAGATACGATCGACAAAGACAACTTTGCGAGGAGATAATTAGCAGGCAACGATCTCTTATAGAAGGTAATAAAACCGTAACAAATAATTTACGTGAAACAATAGTTGCATACCCATGCGTGACGTCACGAACGGGCCGTCACCTAGTTTCAAGACTTAGCTGTTCTCTCTCTTCTCTCTTGAGAGAGGCGAACCGAGCGGCGTAATAATTTAATAAATATTTAAATATACATCCTTCTTTAATGTTGTATTCCAATTTTAAACAAAATTTCATATTTTTAAAGATTGAGGTTATATTTTTCCTTATTAACATGAAGAAATCCTACAAAATGAATTACTATAATTAAATTAAATCATAATAAATAATAAAAAAGATTAAAAACTTACTTTATAACTTAAAAACAACACAAATTCACGTTTAGCATTTTAATTGATGGATTTTGAAAGATTCTTCTTAATTTTTTTATTAATTTAGAAGGCAAAATTAAGCTCCCACCTGACTTGCAAGAACTTTATCAATTATATCAACAAGAAATCCACGCTTCAACATACACTGATTATCCATCGACAGCTTCGATAGAAAAATTACCACCTATAAGTAAAATGTAAGTATAAACAAATTAATTTTTAAATTAAAATTAATTAAAACGCCTTTTTTTTAATAAGCTATAGTGATCCGATGTTTAGAAGAAACACTTCAAATTCAGAACAAAGCGGTTCAGATCACACACCCCCATCTTCAGCGGAATCCGAGGAATTACCGCCATTGAATGACCCGAGTATTGATAGAGTGATGGGGCAAGTAGTTTCTAGGCCGGGGTTATCCATGAAATTACCACCTTTACCACCAAGTCCACCAATTCGAATTTCAAAACCACCAAGGTAAATAATTTATAATTACAGATTTCTTTATTGAGTTTCAATTAAATGCTAATAGATGGCGTTTATTTGTTCTAGCTCAAAATCAGAGAGTTTTGAGAAAATTGAGTAAATAATTAATTTATGTAAAAAAAAAAATCTAAATCGCACAAAAATTTAATAATAATAATTATAAATAAGTAGGAAATATACATAAAAACGTTGTTGATAATAATACTGACATCTTTGGCGAATTAACGTGAATACATAATAAGTAAATGATGCAAAAAAAAATAATAATAACTTAGAAACTATTATAAAAATAAATACAGTTTTCGAAAATAAAAGGTGTCTTTCAACCTTTTCTTATTCCATCATCAATTTTAATTCCTTATATAATTTTATTTTAATGGGAATGCTTTTTATTACTTTTATATATTTATTTAACCTTTTTTATGGTTATGACAAGGACTGTAGAATCGAAAAGTACTGCTATATCTTTTCTTCGATCTTTTCTAATCCAGAAAATGACGTCAGTATCGGACCAATACGCTGGTATCACCTGTTGTTGTGTTCTTTGTGTGTTTTTAGAAGATTTATCGTATAGAGAACGTTCTAGTTCTAGGTCTAGTGTTAGTTCTAGTTTTAATTGTTATTCAGCGCTAGATTGTTGTATATTTTTATTGAACTAAAAGTAATATTAAAAGGCCACGGAACTTTTGTAACAAAACAATACGATTTCCCCCCTCCACTCGTTCTCAGCAGAAAATTTCATACAAAAGTTGTTCTAAATTAAATTCTAAAACGATTTTTTCAATAAAAATATATACAGGTGTCCCACCTAAGTTGCCTCGGTCCATAGCCGAATTATGATTGAGTTTTTCAAAAAATGTTCCAGATAAAAGTTGAATCGAATCATATTGTACATATTTTAAAATTAGTTTCAGTAATGGCGGACTTCCGCTTCTACCGGAAATGGATATCAACTTTGTTATTTTAAATGGAACAGCCTGTATATTATTGCATTTTTGGATTCTTTGTGAAATTTCAATGGTACTTTGTTAAGGATACCTTAGGTCTAACTGGTATCGTTTTTGAATTATATGACGATTTTCGAAAAAAATGACATTTGCAGCGTCTTATAAATTTGGCAATATTGCCGAAAGTGTGAAAGCTAGAAAGATTTGGTTTTCTGTTTTGGATTAACAATAAAAGAACACACGTTTGCTAATAGAAAATTATGCATTTATATTACGGAATTCTTAAGTAGGGATCTGTAATTTTCGAACTTTTTAATCATGGATAACTTATTTTTTTTAAATGGAACAATATACCAATTTTTGCATAACTGGATGTAAAATTTAATTTCCTTTCAGTTTTATACAGGTATCATGGTGTCTATCTTCAACGGTTTTGAAGATATTCCCGATTTTTCAGTTTTTTACGATAGATATGTATTGCGAAGTAGGCTTAGGACTGGTAAAATGGAAGGTGGTCGACGCTTTGCAATACTATTAAAAATTGAAGTAGGCTTGGAAAACAAACTAGGTAAACTGTCATTACTGTTCCACGCATTAGAACTGTCATTAGTGTTCTACGCATTAGAACTGGTTTTCAAAGTATTATTTGTTAACATAATAATTAAAAATGTCACATACGCGGAAAGAATTAGTCGATATGGTTTTCGTTCTCGGCGAATGTAACAAGAACGCTTTGTTAGCGTCAAGACTTTACGCACAACAATATCTGGAAAGAAACTGGAAAGATTTACAAATACTGGATCCGTAAAACGTACTAAGCGCAACCGTAATAACTCCGTACTTACGGATGAAAACCAGTTGCACGTATTGTTAGCTGTGCAAGAAAATGCAGAATCTAGTGTGCGTGAAATAAGTAGGAGGACAAACATCAGTAAATCTTCGGTACACAGGATTTTAAGAAAATATAATTATCATCCGTATCGAATCCAGTTGCTCCAGGAAATTACTGAAGGCGATTGCGAAAGCAGGCTGTTATTCTGTCAGTGGGCAATTGAAAGAACTAATCTTGATGCCAATTTTTTCGGATAGGTGATGTTTTCGGATGAAGCTACCTTTCACAAAAATGGGTTTGTGAATCGTCACAATTGTCATTATTATAATACAACAAACCCCCATCGATTCCTTGCACTGCATAGCCAGTACAGATGGTCAGTGAACGTTGGGCAGGTGTCATTGGAACGCATATCATAGGCACTTTCTTTCATAATCAACGTTTGACGGGTAGGATTTATTTAGAATTTTTAGAAAATAGTTTGGGCGTTCTGTTGGAAAATATTCCACTAGCTATTCGTCAGTAGATGTGGTTCCAACATGATGGTGCTCCACCGCACAATACCGCCCAAGTACGTCGGTATTTGGATGTGTCCTTTCCGGACCGCTGTTAGATGGCCTCCGAGATCGCCAGATCTTACCACTTGTGATTTCTTTTTATGGGGTTTCATTAAAAGCAAGGTTTATGAGACATCACCAACTACTCCTGACGATATGCGTCAACGCATTGTAAGAGCTTTTCAAGAAACACCAGAAATTCTCAGAAATGTGCAAAACTCCTTACAAAAACGATTTCTATTATGTAGTGAACAAAACGGAAAACATTTTGAACATTTGATGCAATAGTGTTTTTTTATTTGTGTTTTGTTTCCAGTGGTCTTGTTGTGTTTTGTTGGCCACTTTTTAAGCATGCCAGTAATATTTCTGCCAGTCCAAAGCCTGGTAAAATGCGAGGGGAAGGTGGCCGGCGCTGCGAAATACGTATCTATCGTTAAAAACTGAAAAATCGGGAATATCTCCAAAACCGTTGAAGATAGACACCATGATAACTGTATAAAACTAAAAGGAAATTAAATTTTACATCCAGTTATGCAAAAACTCGTATATTGTTCCATTTAAAAAAATTAAGTTATCCATGATTAAAAAGTTCGAAAATTATAGATCCCTACTTAAGAACTCCGTAATATAAATGCATAATTTTCTATTAGCAAACGTGTGCTCTTTTACTGTTAATCCAAAACAAAAAACCAAATCTTTCTAGCTTTCACAGTTTCGGCAATATTGCCAAATTTATAAGATGCTGCAAATGTCATTTTTTTCGAAAATCGTCATATAATTCAAAAACGATACCAGTTAGACCTAAGGTATCCTTAACAAAGTACCATTGAAATTTCACGAGGAATCCAAAAATGCAATAATATACAGGATGCTCCATTTAAAATAACAAAGTTGATATCCATTTCCAGTAGAAGCGGAAGTCCGCCATTACTGAAACTAATTTTAAAATATGTACAACATGATTCGATTCAACTTTTATTTGAAACATTTTTTGAAAAACTCAATCATCTGATGTACAATACATCCATTTTGAATATAATTTTAGTAGAGAAAAGACACCTGTATATACAGGTTGCCACACAAGAACGCCGCTAGCTGTATCTGTCATTTACCCTCCAATTTTCATGACCTAGCTATCAAATGAAATGGTTTGATGAATACTATGATTCATGCTACAAATAAACTTTTTCCAACGCCATTTCAATTTCTAGCGATTATCAACATTTGATTTTCAAATTGCTCGGTGTGTTTTTCTTCACGCTATTGGATAGAGTTTTTTTTTCTGAATCCATTAATGTACAATACATCAACATTAATTGTAATTGTAGCATAGAAAAACATTAAAATAGTTTCTGAACATTCTCTTAAAGTCACTTGTGTTATACTGTAGTGTGCCATGGGATAAATGAAAAACGAACTTATAAGTATCATTTACAACTGCTTGGGCATTGAAATAGCATTTAATGACTGTTATCAGTTTTGCGTGTTATTTTTTTCCATGGCACACTGCAGTATTACAGAAGTGACTAAGACAATGTTCGGAAAATGTTTTAATTGTTTTTCTCTGCTAAAATTACAATTAATGTTAATGTATTGTACATCAATGAACGCAGGTTCGAGGAGGAGGTTCTTGAAT